AAAGGACAGCACGACAACAAGAAAGTTTGGGTTTGGGATAGCAGCAAAGAACACCTTCGAGTTTTGGCTCAAACAGGACGAGAAAAGAGAGAAAATGTCGGTGCCGAGGTCAAACGACCGGCTAAGCCGGTGGCGACAGCACACAAGTGGCTGTGGGGAGCTGGCACCAGGATAACGACCGGTTCACCCACGGGAAGGCAAAGCTACATGGTGGACAATGGCTCCGGGTTTTTGACACGTTTTGACTCATCCCTATGCTTGCTTGGTACGACCGGTGTTCTATGCAGGTCATCAGGCCTTAGACTCCCGTTGGTGTCCGGCGTCGGGCCGGTTCCGACGTCGTGCCTTGGATGTGTTCGGACGTCTGGGTGCTAGAACTGTCCCAGGTCCCAGTATAATGGGACTGGAAGAGATGCCGCCCCAGCAAGACCCCTCAAAAACCCACCCCTATATAGGTCAATACGCCAGTCCCATGGAGTATCAGTGTCAGGGTATACTTCTTTCATCTTCCCATGTCTCTTTACCTCTCCAGCATGTGTCTTTCTTGCATGCCTCTTACTAAGAAAAGCGGCCAAACCACCCAAACGAGTCCATCCGACTCGTCATCGACTCCTCTGCATCGACGCTCAGCATCGACCGGTGCGTGGCTTCTCCTCCTGACGCAGGACGCCCGTGTCACGCCGTGTCACGGCAACATGCAAGTCAACATGCAAGTCCACGAAGGCTAAAGCCCTCCAGTACTGACACGGAGTCTACAGTACTGAGTATGAATGCCTATAGCGCAAACGTTTTTTTCGAATCCAAACCATATAGGCAAGAGCATGCAGCATGCACCAAAAGTCAGTTTCAATCCATTCCCTACACCTCCAAGTACCTCCTCAGAAGGTATTTGGACTCTCCAAACCCACCCCAAACACCTTCTCAGAAGGTACAACTGGAGGCCTAGGGTAAAGCTGGAACCACTCTTGGCATCTCCTTCGCAGCTGGCGCCACTCAAAGATCCTGAGTGGCTCACACCAAAGCTCCAAGGCTTTTTTCGTGACATTCCTGTGTCCAGCCACAGCTTTGCACATACCTGGACCCTCCAGGGGGTGTCCAACGGACTACCCCACACTACCTATAGGCTTCCAGACAGGGCACCCCGACAGGAGGGTCCTGGTAGTGCAAACACTTCTTTCTTGTACAATGGAGGTTTCGGCCAGGAAGGAAAAAAGAAGGCCCTGGGGGCATCCGGTGCAAGAGATTGAACCTTTAGTTGCTTATTAGGAAAACCTCTTGCAACCCAGTAAGAGGCTAAGGGTCAAAGACTACACCTATACAAGAACCTTAATTCAAGGACACATGTCAAATGTAATTAGTCATGATGGGTACTCCAAACCAACACCTCAAGCCAAGTATCGTGTCTGTCATGGTTGCAGCACTTAGTCGAATCACAACGGCAAAAGGCAGTGGCACACCAAACCCACCAACACAGAATCAGGATGAATGGGCTTCCGGAATCGTGCTTATTCGTAGACAGGGGTTCAGTTGTGTCTAAGACCAAAGGCTTCAGTGTTTTTGAGCCTAAGTTGGGTATATCACGATACTAGTAAGAGTCGATGATGATGGTAAAGACTTAAAGACCTTGAACCAAAGTAGCGATAATATCATACAAACTGTTACAGGTAATGGGACACATCCCAAGTCTAAGACCAAAGATCCAAAACTTACTAACTGGTCAGTAGCAAGGCGCTCTGCAGAAGCTCTGCAAAGCTTTCCGCAGAAGAACTCCGCACATGAGTGGACCGGCAGGTGGGCCGGCACGAAAGGACAAAACCATACAAGATCTACAAAACAAGAAGTTTGCATTACACACTTTAAACAATACACAGTGTTCCCCATGCCAGCAAATGTACCCATTTAATTAGAACATCAACATCACCTTCGCAAACACTGAAAAAGGATGAGGGTGGGTGGGTGGTACCTCCATATGCGCACGCCTAGGCGTGTGCGTGCACTCATGCACGTGTGCGGAGGGTGGACATGAAGAGGGCTGATAGGTGCAAATGACTCCGAATGTCATGACAAACTGTTGCACGCTGCATGCGCTGCATGCTGTAACCGGAATTTGGGTGCCGATGATCTTCAGAAATTGCGTTTGCTCATCTTGCTGCAAATCGTTTGGTATTGAGACTTGAGGGTGCGTGTGTGTGTGTGTGTTGGGAGGGCCACAGCGCTTCTTGGTGATTGCAAGCTTGGGGTATTTGAAGTCAATGGGAAGCTTTGGTCGTCTCGAAACAAGGGATGGCATACAGCTGTCCCCCTAAATGTCGGGTTAGCATGTTTACTCTAGTTAGCATTCGCATCCCCACCATGGACAATCCTTACAAGCCTTCAAGACGCATCGCTTGGATCCGAATGGATGCGACAATGCATGGCTTCGAGCCACAACTCGGCGGGACGCCGCGAACGGTCAGGTGAACCATGATATGGGAGTTCCGTACACCATGTCATTGCGGAACATGTATACCCTCAATCGAGGCAGAAATACAGGTAAAATCAACATATTGTTGCCATCATTACTAAATGTTGCGCAGTAGTATACCACAACATGTCTTGGCACCAGGAAAAGTCTACCTTGGGCCATGCGAAACACCATGTAACAGTGGAACATGAAATGGTCTTCCGCTGCTGTGGGCAGCCCCAAAGAATACCTATTTTGCACAGCGAGATGTGTAGGTGAAGAGCCTCCTTGAAGCTGACCAGTGGCAAAGCAAAACAAACAAACATCGAACCAACAATTACAATATTTATAATATATGCCTCAAAATCACAAATTCTAGCCAACGATCGGTAAAAGCACACACACACATCCATTCGCATGATACAAAAGCAAGACAAACAGCAACTCTGCTCGATGTCAAGTTCATTCCTTTTCCACGCGCAGCCCCTTCTTGAACAGCTGTCACACGTGCCATTCCCATGCGGCGCGTACCATCTCAGGGAGGACTGTGTTAGGCTGGATGGTCGGAGGCCTGTGCCCAAACGAAAGGGAACGCACTGAGTCAAGCGGCGTTCGAAGCGCCCGAGGATCGCCATTCTTCAATCCCATGATCCAGCTTCAACCCGCACCCAATGCGGCCACATACTCTCCACCAAATCTTTACCAATTGAAAGTGGTAGACCAAGTGGTAGACCATCTCTAGCAAAGCTTCCACAGTTCCCTGGTTGGTGAGACCTATTAGGGGGGGACCTCCCAACCAACAGTCTGATGTTGATTTTGCCAGAGGTCTTTGAGAGATCTCCCTATCCCAAACGCTCCATGTATGCCATATATGCCTACATTGGGGTGGTTTGGGGGGTCAATGTAAGCATATATGGCATACATGGAGTGTCTGGGCATTATTCCAATAATACACACCCATTTGTTTAAAGGGTATTCCATGCCGGCACAGCTGTCCGTAGAGTAGCTGGATGCAGCTAGCACAGCCACAAAAATCATCCTGGAGGTGTCCGCAGTTGTCCGCCAAAGTGTCAGACGAAGTCAAGGCTTGCCTGACTCCCAGACTCCTGGCCTTACTACTACGAGCAAGAAACTATACACTAGGAGCAAAGGGCATCGCTACTAGTAACAAGAACCCTACGTTCCGGGCTCCTGGCCATACTACTAGGAGCAAAAACTCTGTTTCGATGAATATTTCGAACCTTCAGCCCTTGAAACACTTCAAATAACATGACAACAGCTGGGCATAAGCGCAATTCGATCCAAACCATACAACAGCCGGCGGTGATTCATTTGTAGGAACTATTACTTGATCAGAACAGAGTTTATGTCAATTTAGTATGATCTATTTGTTTACACTATGTTACATTACCAGGACCCTCCTGTCGGGGTGTCCTGGCTGGACTCCCCCACACGGATCCTATATATATATAGGCTTCCCCACACTATGCACCCCGCGGTGTCGGGTCCTGGTATGTTACATAGCTAGAAACGTGCAGAAACAACGGCGCAACACAAACGTCCATCATTCGGGCACACTCCCATGCCTCGCACGCCCACACAGCTGCGGTCTAAACCTGGCACCACGGTACCGTGCGGTCGACGTGGTCGACGCGGTCGACTCGGTGGATGGTGACACCGAACCTCGACTCTGATGAGCCCAAACCTAAGTACTCCATCAAACAGTGGAACGCAAAGGCTGAGGCTCTGCAAATCTTGATAAGTTCAGTGGGAAGGGAGAAGGAATAACCCAAACCCTCCATGCATATGCCGAAAAACCTATAGATGGACCCCCATGTTTTCAGCACCAAAAACGGTCCTTTTTCGTCAGTCCGTTGGACGAACGGACTTGCCCATGGAATACCTGAACCCAAGGAAACCAGGACAAAAGAAAGGCCCCAGCCAGGACCCGGTTCTCCCGGTCTTCCCGAACAGGAATAGCGTGGAGTCGGGAACGAATAAACCGAAAGAACGGGCCGCTGATGGCCGCTGTTGGGTGTGGCATGGTCCCATGTTCGGTACTTGAAGTCGGGTCCAGGTACATAGACCCCGAATGATTCCACCACCCTTGGCCTAATCAGTCATGCTAGATGGAGTGTCCGGACTTAGTATATCAACATACCCATGGAAGTCGGGTCCAGGTACTTGACCGAACAAAATCACAAACCTATGTGCCGATGCCTATGTGCTCGTGACGGACCCGCCAGCCGGCATCTCAGCTCGCACCGGTCAGCCAAAAGGGGAAATCCTGCAACATATTTAAACAAAAAATGAAAACCCTAGTGAGGCTCCAGTGGTAGCAAAAACAAGTGACTTGGTTTTCATCAATTGAAATTGGTGGTTTTCCAATCCAAGCCGACCGCAAACTGACCAATGCGCGGCCTGACCCAGCCGACCGCGAGTTCCTCGCCTCTGCCTCGCTCTCTGGGAGCCTCCGACATGGACCACTTCGACCAACTGACTGCGCAAACCACCGGGGTCACCCACTTCGTCACCCCCTGTCCAGGTTCAAAAAAAGGTGAAAATCGTCGTTCCATGGAAACGGGCAAATCAGAACATCACCTTATTAAGCAATACCGTTTGGTGAAGGGGTCTATGAAATCCACCTTGGGTCCTGGTAAGGTCCTGGTACTGAACTCGAGAGCCGGTTCCAAAGTTCACCGAACTTTCAACTTGTTCATCTCTTTTTTTGGAGTGTCCTCAATCCCCCAAAAAGGTTATCCGCTGACCCCTGCCTAGCTGACGCCTAGGCGGGGCGGCGCCGGGGACACCGCAGGGTGAAACAGTTGCCCAGGCCAAGCAGATCCAGCTTAGGCAGTCACCTGGGCTGCTCACTGGCCACACCAACTTAGAAGACCTTGGCCTGCACCAAGCCTAGAAGGCCTTGGCTTGCACCTGTTTTCTATAAGGCTTTGAAGGTGACGTAAGGCACTGGGCACACCCCCATTCCGACCGCTGTTGCGGGCAGAAATAAATGGTGTCGTTTGCTAGGCTTGAAACCCCCGCCGGGGTGAGCTTCTGGCACATGCCAGGCTATACAGGCTATAGCTTTATGGGCTCTCGAAGGCAACGTACCAGGCAACGTGCCAGGCGACGTTAGGCATTTTGGCTGGCTGCTCCCCCCCCCCGTTTCGACCGCTGGTGGGCAGAAATAGATGGTGTCGTTTGCTAGGCTTGAAACCCCCGCCGGGTGAGCTTCTGGCACGTGCCAGGCTATACAGGCCATAGTTTTATGGGCTCTCGAAGGCAACGTGCCAGGCAATGTGCCAGGCGACGTTAGGCATTTTGGCTGGCTGCACACCCCCCCGTTTCGACCGCTGTTGTGGGCAGAAATAGATGGTGTCGTTTGCTAGGCTTGAAACCCCCGCCGGGTGAGCTTCTGCCACGTGCCAGGCTATACAGGCCATAGTTTTATGGGCTCTCGAAGGCAACGTGCCAGGCAATGTGCCAGGCGACGTTAAGCATTTTGGCTGGCTGCACACCCCCCCGTTTCGACCGCTGTTGTGGGCAGAAATAGATGGTGTCGTTTGCCAGGCTTGAAACCCCCGGCGGGGTGAGCTTCTGGCACGTGCCAGGCTATACAGGCTATAGTTTTATGGGCTCTCGAAGGCGACGTACCAGGCAACGTGCCAGGCGACGTTAGGCATTTTGGCTGGCTGCACGCCCCCCGTTTCGATCGCTGTTGTGGGCAGAAATAAATGGTGTCGATTGCTACCCCGGAACCCCCCCCCGATTTGGGCAGTCTATAGGGCAGCAGGCCGCACTGTGGCCATCACCTGGGCTGCTGCATGCCTGCGCCTGTTGCGGGCAGAAATAGATGGTGTCGTTTGCTATAGGCTTGAAACCCCTGCCGGGGTGAGCTTCTGGCACGTGCCAGGCTATAGCAAGACATTGAGCAGGTCACTTCATCAGGTAGCAGCCTTTGGTTGATGCTGCTGGGAGTGCTAAACTTGTTGCTGAACCAAAGAGTGTGTAGAATACCCCACGCCTCCCCACACCACTCTGAAGTTTGGAAAATGAATCCCTCCCGCAGGTGGCAGGAAGTTGCTGATGTCGTCGCCATATCCTGAACAAATAGCAAGAAGAGAAAGAGGAATAAAAGGAAAATGGAAAGGAACAGCAGCTAGCCTACTTTACTAAAGCCCGCGAAGCGCGAAACCTGCACCCTACACCCTACACCCTAACCCTGGAACACTAAACCCTAAAGGTTAGGACTCAGGTGGCTGTATGGTCGAATGGTCTGAACCTCGGTAAGGATCAGGATTAGAATTAGGGTTAGGACTCAGGTGGCCACTTTTTGAACCATACGTCAAGGGGCTTCAGTTAGGATCAAAAATGAGGATTAGGATTAGGATTCAGCATTTTTGGCTAGGATCAGGATCAGGACTAGGGCGAGGATTCAGGCATAGACCCGAACAAGTGACATGCAACCTTTTGCACTGTACTGGGATACGCATAGAGCAGTTTTCAGCATACCTCATAGCGAGAGCGGCGGAGCCATGCGGCAGAACAGCGCCGGTGTTGCAAGACATTGATGTTCCTGGAATCTGCGGCTGAATTGACGGCTGAGCCGGCTGACGTGACGATCAGCGGGTCAACAGCAGTTCTTCCAGTTCAGAAAAAAATCTCCAGAGCTAGTTGTTGCCTTGGTGGCTGGTGGGCGCTTTCCGCTTTCGTTTCTCCGCCCGAGACACTTTGGATGCTGCGGATCTCTGCGGTTTGCCCGTGGAAAATCCAACCTTCAGAACAGTCGCCCGGACGAAGGTGCAGCTCGCCTTTCTCAAGCTGGCAGCCAACCTGCCGCACCTTTCTCCAGCCACTCTCGCTGCTCCATCGAAAGGCAATACCGTGAATGCAATCCCCAGGTGCGCAAAACCGAAAGATCGATGGCCGAGCGTGTTCTTCCAGTTTGGACAGAGCGCTATCCAGAGCAGCTTGGACAGAGTCATCCTGACAACGCTCAAGGCCTGCGCCGTTGGCGTCCCCTCCCACAAAGTCAAGCTGCAGGGCGAAGCTGTCTGAACATGATCTCCAGAGCAGTAACTGCACAGTCCCGCTGCTTGGCCGTGACATTGTTCACATGGAAGCTCCCCACACGCCACACAGTGCTTCCGGCACGCTGCTCCGAATGAGACACTTCCGCTGCCAGCCAGTACAATGTCTCGACTTTCGCGCCGAGCCCAGCAAATGCAACTAAAAGCGCTGGCAGGCGTGATTGTGGTGTCTTTCATAGTTTAAACCAATGTACACAAAAATTTGATCATCATCGCATTGCATTCGGTCACGTGCAACTATCCGCCGACCCCTGCCTGGCTGATGCCTAGATCCAGAGCGTTTCGCCGTGGCTCCGCTGCCTTTCTCTGCCCTTTCTCTGCCCAAGCAGATTCAGAGGAGCCTTGGAGTGAGCTTCTGGCGCGCGCCAGGCTACAACTAGTTTTATGGGCTCCCGAAGGCGACGTGCCAGGCGACGTTAGGCATTTTGGCTGGCTGCACCCCCCCCCGTTTTTGGATGATTTTTGACTTCGAATTAGATGGTGGAAGGGCGTGGCGGGGCGGCTTGCCAGGAGCCTTGGAGTGAGCTTCCGGCACGTGCAGGGCTACAACTATACAACTAGTTTTATGGGCTCCCGACGGCGACGTGCCAGGCGACGTTAAGTATTTTGGCTGGCTGCCCCCCCCGTTTTTGGATGATTTTTGGGTTCGAATTAGATGGCAACGTTAGGCACTTTGGCTGGCTGCGGCTCGCCCCTTTTTGGTGATGGATGGTGTCGTTTGCCCGCCCGGAAACCCTCCGCTGCGGCTGCGTTCTGCCTTATTATACGCACACCTCAGCTGCCAGGCAACTGGGCCAGTCCACTAGGCATGGAAAGCGAAGTGCCAGGCAACTGGAGAGTGACGCGCCAGGCAACTGCTTTTAGGCATTCTCGCTCGTCGCGACTCGCTTCTACGTTACTAGCGTTCTTGCTCCTCGTTTCTACTTTGTGCTTTCATTGCAGGTCCTTCCTAAAAAAAAGGGGTCGGCGGCACCAGGGCGAAGCCCTTACATATTAAGGTATATTAAGGAGGTTGACATTAACTTTTCCTGGATATGATCTTCACAGCATGCAATCAACATGTGGAGGCATCTTTCTCTTGCAGCACTTTTCTGATCCAAGCTTGTTCGGCAGGCGAAAGTCGCTTCGCCATTCAACGTCCAGATTGATGAACGTTCTAATCTTCTGATGTCCTGGTTGGGAAAAGACAGCGGAGTCGATGCTAGGTATCATATGTATATATATATATACCACAGACTTGCTAGTTCACAACGGGAGTGTCCCTTTCATGAACAAACCGATAGTATACAAGGCTGTCCATGATTCCATCAGGTTTCTCGTGATTCGCCGTGATTACCACCTCCATTTGCCTGCGTTTGCTCGTTCGGAAGCCAAGAAAAGTAGAAAACAAATTCGGGAAAATCTGCCGACCCCACTCGTGAGATGAGGCGTGACTGTTGATGAAGGCTAAGGCTATGATTAAGGCAAAGGCTAAGGCTATACCTCCCCTACCCCTCCGGAGCCTTGTTGCAGCGACGAGAAGTAGCCAAGATTTGTCCAAGATTTGTGCAAGACTTGTCCAAGATTTGTCCAAGATTTTGCCAAATGTATTGGTTCGGGGATTGGGACGCGGTCCTGGGTTCGATTCCCGGGCTGCTCGCGGCCTTGTTCCTTGCCAGCGCCTGTAGTTTTTCCTAGAGTTTCTAACGTTTTCCGCTGGATGTCTAGGATTTTCAAAGGTTTCTCTAAAATTTGCTCATGCCTTTCAGGCCTTTTGCGAGGGTGTTTTCCAAGATTTTCTCTGGTCTTTCTAGATAGTTCTGTGGTTGTCTGGGGGCTCCGTGTTGTTTTGTGGGTTCCCAGATTTTCAAAGAAAAATGCTAACCCATTTTCCTCGGTTTTCAAACGTATTCCGTTGGATTTCTAGAATTTTTCTAAGGTTTTTGTAAGATTTACTCATGCCTTTCATGCCTTTTGCGAGGGTGTTTTCCAGGATTTTCTCTGGTTTTTCTAGATAGTTCTGCGGTTGTCTAGGGGCTCCGTGTTGTTTTTGGGGTTCCCAGATTTTCAAAGAAAAATGCTAACCCATTTGCCGTGCTCTCTTTCTGCCTACTTTGGTGATGCAGTGACAGATCATGTCTCTAGGGGTTCCGTGTTGTTTTTTGGGTTCCCCGATTTTTCGAAAAAACTCTTAACCCATGGAACCTAGGCCATCCACTTCCCTGGGGGTCGGCGGCTGCCAGGCGTTAGCCTGGTTAAATAACAATCCAAACCAAAGGTTTGCATGGCTTCTCATGTACGGTCGCAGCCTCGCCTTTCTCCTCCAAGTTGATTCAGTGCCCCGCGCCACAGCCTGCGAGTCTGGCCAGACAGGAGGGTAGGACGGCCGCATTTTGCTTTGGAAGGAGGCGCAAGGACACTACTAGTAGCTCATGGCATTACTACTAGTAAGAAGAAGCTACTAGTAACAAGGTGCATCCCTACTAGGAGCCCAGCCACATGACGGTGTATTTGCACAGGATTCTGCAACTAGGATTCCGCTTTGTTTGGATTCCGCGTGTTCCTTCTTCCACTTATAGGGCCACTAGGGGGTCTCCCTATTCAAAAACACACCCAGATGCAAACCCTTGAAAGCCCAAACACAAAAGGAGGCAATTGTTCACAGCCTTTTCTCGCTCCAAACATGGAGGTCATTCGCTTGCCGCTCCCCATGTGCCCTTGGCTCACAAGTTTGGCAACATCCTCTCCAGTTTGGTGAACGGAGAACAGCATCTGCGTTCTTTCAGGTCCAGGCTTGTCCTCACAAAAAGTTTGGCATTGGATTAAGTGAGGGGAAACTAATGGATAAAACATCCCGCCTTGGACGATGATCACTTCTCCTTGGAACATCTGTTCAATTCCCAGACACTCCATGGGACTGCCATTCATATATGCCTATACATTGACCCCCCCAAAACCACCTCCTATGGCAGTCCCATTAGTCGTGTCTCGGATTGGTGTGTGTGTGTGTTCTGTTCCGGCCAAAAACGCACGTCATTCCCAGCAGGATGAGTTTGTTCGACGACGAACTCTGACGACGAGGTGGGACCCACCGAAGAGGAGCGTGGACCCGAAGCAGCGAGGGGGGTTGGGCCGAAGCAAGATCAACGTAGCAGTTTGGCTCGGATCCACTTTGGGGATATATTAGAATCTTGAGAAGTTGCAACTGTACACGACACGTGTCGGGTTAGAGCCGGATTCGGAAACTAATCGGTCGGATTCTGAAACTAGGGTTCTGAAACTAGGGTTCTGAAACTTGGCTTCTGAAACTAATATTCTGAAACTGGTGTTCTAAACTAGGATTCTGAAACTGGTGTTCTGAAACTAGGTTTCTGAAACTGGGATTCCGAAACTTGTATTCTGAAACTGGAAAGTCAGATTCTGCAACTTGCCTGAGACTTGCAACTGGTGATCTCCACATCATGCAATAGCGTGTGTGCCTGTGACATCACCTTCGAAGCACATCCAAACCAACGTCATTAGACCCCCCCCAACCCCCCCATCCCCCTTGTCCCCATCGTGTGATCTTGACACCACGCCAACCCCCTAATCATTGACAAAGTTGCGGAATCCTAGTGAGGGAATCCACAATGTTGCGGAATCCTAGTTGCGGAACGCCAGTTGCAGAATCCCAGTTGCAGAAACCTAGTTGCGGAAGCCTAGTTGCGGAATCCTGACAGTTGCGGAATCCTAGTTTCGGAATCCTAGTTGCGGAATCCTAGTTGCGGAATCCCAGTTGCGGAATCCAAGCTGCGGAATCCTAGTTTCGGAATCCTAGTTGCGGAATCCCAATTGCGGAATCCGACCGTTAACAGTTGCGGAATCCTAGTTGCGGAATCCTGCGCAGTTGCGGAACTCGACTTTATCCTCACGTGTCGCATGGACCAAATATCGCAAAATGGGTCTTGGAAAGCTGTCTTAAACCTTGGGTACCATCGAAGCTGAAAACTGCCTGAAACCACTTTTGAGGGGGATTCACTGCTACCTTGTCAGAAGGTACGACTGGACCCTCCTAGCCTACACATCGAAGAGTCTCCCTGCTCAACTTCTTAAAAGGTGGCAGCGGATTCAGGGATCGCACGCAATTGTGTTGAGGACTTCCATGTTCACCACCCCAAACCCGCTCTGTGTCCAATCAGTGTCGCCAGCCCACCATTGGTGTCACGCCTGCCGTGCCCCGCGGCTGTGGCGGCTGCTTTGTAGCAAAGGGCATCAGCAAAGACTCGAAGGCACCTCGAATGGGGGCTGTATTTTGCATGCCGTTTTACATTCCTCAAGTATTTTCATTGAAGCTGGGAAAAACTTTTGCAAATACTAAAAGAAGCAGGTGTCCATCATTCATGACTATGCAAGTTTCTGCAAGTCAACGATGGCGAATATGGATGGAGCATGGCAAGCCTCCCCTCTACGGATTTACCTTGCAGGATGTCTCTAGCTTGGTCAGGGTCCATACCAGGGCCAGGACCTTCCAAGGGATCTCAATGGTCTACCCGACAGTACCTCGGATATTGTATTAATGCAATGAAATGCAAATGATTGGAATCATAGGTTCCAATTTCTACATTGAGGTCAAAACTAACATCAAAACACGACCTGCCTGATTGATGCAAATAGGCATTCGCAGCTATTGAATTTCTTGTACTATATAAATATAAAAGACATGAAGGGACTTGGACGCCAAAAAAACACGGCACTGGAGTGAGTCATGACAGCCAAAAAGAGCCACGACGACCTACCAAACAGGACGTGGAACAAATACATATTCGACATAGGAAACCACATCCACGAAGCGGAGACCATTTATCCCGGCCAACAAAAACCATGTTTGAGGGCTTTAATAGGCTACAATGACCCGTTTCAGAAGCATCGAAGTCAAAAAACATGCTAGTTCATCACATGCCCTCAGAACCGATCAGCGCTCGGAAGAGGGGGTTCTTCAAGCATGCTTCAAGCATAGATATTTGTTATACGTGAGAAGGCCGTTGGGTCATCGAAATGCCACCTGACAGACCTGGAGAACAATGGCACCACCCTGGCCACACATTTTCTTGAATGTTCCTGAAACCTTCTCCCCTACGCGGTTTGCGGCCAAAGGCACTTCATGAGCCTCTGCAGCTGCAAGGAAGATTCCCACGCGCTGCTCAGGGCGCCTTCCGAGGCGTGGCGGACAGGTTTTAAGCATCGGAGGAGCCAGAGAAGCGTGGCAGTCCATGCAACGTGTCACCTTTCAAAAGGGGAAAAGAAGGCTGCCTTGGCTAAGCCCGTGAGATAAACCCTGGAACATCAAGGTGAACCGTATCCACCTGAGTGAAATTTTTTCCCCTGAGGAATGGGGACACACGAACACATGCCCCCAATCCCAGGTGTTGGTGTTTGTGCTGGGGTTGTTTGTGGGGAATACATGGGATATGATATATCCTATTACCGGGTAAAGGGGAGGGGATCAAAGTTCCCCCCATTTGGCCGTCTTTTGACACGTCGGAGACATTCATGCCCAACATCTGAACGTCCCATACCGCATTCCCTGTGCTCAGGCTGCGAAGCAAGAATAGCAGCATGTCCAAGACATGCAATGCCTCACAATGTCCCGAAGTGAGGGTGAGACATTACCACATTCCCTGTGTTCAGGCTGCTCAGCAGGAACAGCCATGTCCAAGACGTCACCGTCCGAGACATCAAATCTCCGAGACCTTCGTCTTTCCCTTGGTTAGGCTTGTTCCGGGCCTCGGGCGGCTCACAAAAGGTATATGGCCCGTTGGAATGGCAACTCAGCCCTCTAAATGTCACCCTCGGTTTAAAAAGGTGTGCCGTGGAATGGCGCCTTCCTCCTCCAAATCTTACTTTCAAAAGGCATGCACCGTTGGAGTGGCACCTCTCTCCTCTAACTTTTACCCTCGTGTGTCTCGCAAGAGGTATGCACCGTTGAAATGGCACCTTGCCCTTCCAGATTTTACCCTCCTGGTGGCTCACAAAAAATGTATGCACCATTGGAATGGCATCTTTGTTTTTTGTATTTTGGGTGTCGCACAAAGCTATGCTCCGTTGGAACTTCCCTCAAAACTTTACCCTCGGGTGGCTCACAAAAGGTATGCGCTGTTGTGATGGCACCTTCCTCCTCTAAATTTTACCTCCGGGTCGCTGGCTCACAAAAGGTACGCAGGCACGCACCGTTAGAATTAATGGCACCTTCCTCCTCTAAATTTTACCATCGGGCGGCTTGCAAAAAGTATGCACCATTAATTGCACCTCTCGCCTCTAAATTGCACCCGCGGGTGGCTCTTTGGTCCTTTGGATGCCAGCTATAATGGACAGCGCACTCGGGAGTTCAAGGTGGTCTGTGCGCCGGAGTGCAAGCGGTTCACCAGCGCTTTTCTGCATCCAGAACCAGCGCTTTTCTGCATCGAGTTCCTTTTCTTGCGAAGACAGGGTCATGTCCGGGGCGCAAGATGCAAGATAATTAGTCAGGAACAGGATGCTGGTCTGGGCCCATAGAAGCAACGGTATTTAAGCGTTGAGGAAGGGTTCTTGTTAAGAAGCTCCATGGCACCCCAACCCGCTCCCCATTAGAGCAAGGGCTCACTTTCCATCCATCTGCGAAAGGAAACCGCAGCTCTCTTGCGACTCCCCCGCATCTCTCCTCGGACTCCACTCCCTGTCAGAGTTTGCATTCTTCATATAGCTCGCTCGACCTGCCTGAGCAATTCTGAGATTCCTCTCTTTTGCAGCCGTTGCCGTTGAAGTCGCTCCATCGCCCATAGGGGCCTTGGGGTTCCTGGCTGTCGAATTTTCGTAGGGCTGCCAACAGCCGACTCCATACCTGGTGGGAAATGGACCCCCGGTACACTTCTCCGCTGCAAGGATGCCAGGTAGGACACAAACTGATCTCTCATATCGATCATCTGCTGCTTCGATCTCTCCAATTCTTGGTGGCCTCGTCCATGGGAGTTTCTTCCATCTCCGGAGCATTCAGGATCTTGTCCAGCTCTTCCTCGGCAGTCTTCAGATTCTTGTGCAAGGTCATTGATCCGTTTCGATCTGCTCTTGCTCCTTCATGAGGCGTTCGTCCATCTTCTCCTGAATTTTCTTGCCATCTGCAATCGCTTCTTGATCTTGTCTCCACCTTCAAGACCGCCTTCTTTCTCAAGTTCAGGGATTTCTCAACATCTCTCATACCCTCCATAGGATCCTCCATCATCTTTGTAAGTTCCTCCGCAACTTGCAGGATCTTCTTGACCAAATCCATGAGCACCGCAGCCACCTCCTTGGATGACTCGTCCTTCTTTGAAGATGACGAAGATGGTGCTGACGACAAAAATCCATATCCAGGAACATCTCCGGAATCTGCTGGCGTTTCGGCCATAGATTCCAATCCCATGGTCCTCTTGTTCTTCCTTCGCCCATCTGAGGTGGGCAGGAATGGTGTGCAACAACAAGCTCCCCAGGATCGTTCAATCCCCCGTGCTTTGTCGCAACTGACCCAGTGGTAGGTCCTCTCTTCTTGGCCGCGCGGACCAGTCTAGCCCTTGAACGGCGTCTCCTGGCACGCCTATGCCAGCTCGGACTACTTCTACCGGCCGCAAGGGTCCCTTTAGGGAGCCATGTTGGATTATCACAAGATGGTGGATGGAAATTCAGCACTTGAGTATCTTTGCGCAATGTTCTGGTTGATAGCCTTCTGGAACAACTCATGTTGCGTTTGCTGTGCAAGTTCACTTTGACGCACTTGCAGGCTCTATTCAATCATGTAACTTGGGAGGTCAGACTGTTTCAACCCCGCAACTCGGAAAGATTCGAGTGCTAGAAAGGGCAGATCATTTTGCGGGTGCTATGGCACGATCCTCAAGTTGTGAGGATTGAACGTTATTCTTTCAACCCTACCATTTCAACTTCTGCAAAACACCTAAGATGCACTACATGGTCTTTGGCCACAAGGGTGATCCTTATGGTCTCACAGCCTCTCCTGGATTGAGTCATTAAACATCGAGAATTAAATAGATAGGCAGAGAAGCTTGTTGAGGCACGTGCGTTTACCAAACTTCATACAACAAATGATTCAGGGGCAGGTATTCACAGGAGATTGCCTTCAGGCGCCGCAAAAGCAAGAACCACCCGGAATGCCTTGTGATGATGAAAGTGTCGTGCAAACCTGCTAACATTCTTCAAGGCGCTATCGACAAGGCAGCGCACACATTAACAGCCAAGTTGCTGGAACGCATGGCCACCGATAGTGATCGCAGTAGGTAACAAACTCTGCACCCGAGTGGTCAAGTTGAGCAGCTTCTCCGATTCACTCGTGCCCTGCAAAAGTACGCAAGCCCATTTTGCACTACACCTAGACATTGCATATTCTTTGACCTGCATGACTGCACAATGTGGCACAGAGTGTATCTACAACTACGGCATGCATGCTCTTCCAAAAAAGATAGGCCTTGCATGATGCAGACGTACTCCGCATGTAGGTGGAAAGATATTTTGGTGGTCTCTTGCTGTGGAATTCGATGGTGGAAAAAGGCACCTACCGGGGCGTTCCAGGCCACGTCAGGCATTCTCGCTCGTCGAGGCTCGCTTCTACGTTACTAGCGTTCTTGCTCCTCGTTTCTACATTAAGCTTTCACTGCAGGTCCTTCCTACCAAGGCAAAGCCCTTGCAATCCGGGCGCCGGCCAGGAAGCCCGTGGGCCTTCGGTCGTAACCGAACGGGGGACCCCCTTCCCACTTCCTCCCCACCTCCGGGTCACTGAAGTCGCTGTAATTTACAGTGTTTCGTGTGTGTGAGGTATAAACAACACTGTGCTTTACAGGGTCTATTGCGCATATCGAAGCGCGACGCGGCGTAGAGGGAGAAATGCCAAAATTCTGTGTTTTTTTCAAGGGCGGTGTCGGTTGCTTAATCGACATTTCGTGGGTGTTGGGCACGCGCCAACAGCAAAGGCGGAACATGTGCTCCAAGATGATCTGACAGAGGCCCTGGCACACATAGCCGCAAGATGACCCTACCTAGGTCCCAGATATGGGAAACATAGCCCCAAGATGGGCCAAGATTGCCTCAAGATGTGGCAACATAGGCCCCACACAGTCTCAAAAAGAGAGAGAGAGAGAGTGACAGAGACAGAGACAGAGACCGACAGAGACCGAGACGGAGACGGAGACAGAGACAGACAGAGGAGAGGGAGGGAGGGAGGGAGGGAGGGAGGGAGGGGGGTCCCTGGGAGAGTTTGGTTGAGGGAGCTTCACCACCGAGTTGGGGTATTCTGACAGGTCTAGTCCACCATCCCCGTGGTGGCGGATGTTTTTGCCATTCCAATAACCCATATACATATATATATATATATTATATATTTAAAGGCTTACGCCTAACAGCCGGGCGCCGGCCCATGTAGGGCTAGGTCCTCTCTCTCTCTCTCTCCCTCCCTCCCTCCCTCCCTCTCTCAAGGTGAACAAGTCAACCCAAAGCTGCTGGCTGGGTCAATCTATAATCCCGCCAACCTAAGGTCAATCTGGCGGCTTTTGACCAAAAACTCGGTGGAATAGAACAATTATGAACAAGTATGAATCAACAAAAGACTCAATCCCTAAAGGCTCCTCCTTTGGCCCAAACCTCTTCGCAAGAATTCCCGGACCCGAGCGCCGTAGCAGAAATCCGGACGCGCATTTATAACGGAGTCTTAGGAAGCTACTTTAATACAGTGTAAGTTACTTAGTCTTAGGAAGCTGTATGGGGGTGGACATCATCAGCCCCCTAGCCTTCCGTTTGATTATTTAAAAACTGGTCGACCTGGTTTTGCGGTCTAGAAAACAACAATGCTTCAGAAGGGATTCAGGCTATGAAATCATCTTAAATCAATGCTGGTTGGAAGCCCAGGGATCAAAAAACTGCTTCACCCCCCTTCCGTCCTCACTGCTTCTTCGCCCCCACTCCATGAAACGGCCTGCGGTCACTGAAGCACCCAAGCTGGCGAGGTCCAGCCTCACTGCTCCCACGACGAACCGGGCCGTGTGAGTTCCGGTCTTCGCTGAAGTTCCGGTCGTCGCGTCGCGAAGAGAGGCGAGCGGACCTGGCGAGGTTCCGGCAACACGCGCCGGCATGTGGCATGTGGAACAGCTAGTGGTGCCTTCCGAACAAAACATGTTAAACCTACTTTAAAATGCATTGGTTTATACAGCCAACAAACAAAAACAGACACAAGCACACACCAGGACCCCCAGTTGGGGTGGTTTTTCTGGACACCTCTTTGATCCCTTTTCCGGGGCTATTGATCCGCTTCAACCATGGTGCTGACACAAACACACTGACAAAGCACCAAAACCGTTTTCATGATAGTTGGAAGGCCTCTGAGGCCACCGGCTGAAGCTGCCTCTTCGGGAAGCCCTGAAGTATGTGGCTGGCGCTGCAGAAGAAAAACGCCGTTTGACTGACCAGGGTTGAGAGGATGAACTATCTTGCGCGCCAATGGTTGCAACATAGTAGCGGGGGCGCCCGGGTCACCACATGCGCTTCGTGGGAACCATGGACGATCCATCAAGAAACCACAGGACAGTGAAGATACGTTCAAACAATAGATCATGTTTGACAGTGGTCTGACTTCAGTCAAGCGGAAACGGTGGGCCTGTTCAATAGCAGTTGGAAGTGTTTCTGATTGTGTTGATTTTCCCTGTTGTTTGGGAAAATAGGACTTCTACGACGGTACAACATTATATAACATGAACATGAATGATTGTGAATGTTTTACTGCATGAAAGTGCTGGGATAGCATAGGTTCCAACAGAACCCCACATGATTCAACAAAAGAACATGTCATGTTTCATGAGAACTATGTTATGTTCCATGGTTCATGAGTACCCCTCCTGATCAAGACCCCTATCCCTGAAAAAAATATAAAGGTGTTTCATGGTGTTTCCCTGTTCCTCAGGGTCTGCAACCCTATTGTTGCTGGGGAAAATATATGGACAATGATGCTTATATAATTATACGAATACGAAGGTCCTTGGGTGAAGGGAAAAGCACTAGCAGGAAACAACCGGACCCGGCGCATGTGAACCCTATTGACAAGTGTCTCCAAACTCCTGAAGCGCCCTCTAGTTGCTGTCCTTCAGAGCTAGGGGCAACCACACAACAACAAAAGCAGCAGAAACAACAACCACCCCCTACCAATAACTATTTACCACCACCACCACTACTACTCTGTTGCTGCTCCTGCTACTGCTACTGCTACTATTACTACAAAATCTATACCACCTACATCTTCAGATCTAAAGTCGGCTTCGACCCCTCCTTCCTGTGTTTCAAAACGACGGCTTCGCTGGGCGACCCCCACGGCCAAGATCTGAACGGTGCTCCTCCAAAGGGCTCTGTCCGCCTGGTGGATTCCAGAGGACCGGTGCATTCCGGTTTGCCCAGTCACCAATAAAATCATAGATGGCCTACCAAACTGGAATTTGAGTGGTGAATGCCATGTATTTAAGGAGCAGTTGGGCATTCCGAAAACGCCCAGTCAACCCAGTTTGGGCATTCAGAATGGCCAGCGGCCCGCAGTTGGGTAGGGATCCGGCCTCACGGCTGAACCCTCCAAAACACCTCCTGCCACTCACATAAAAGTGTCCAACATTATAAGCATCTCAAAGGGCATGTGGATCCATCGGGTTTCATGTAGGCTGTTGATGAAACAGCTGAAGTCTACGGATGTAAAACCATCATATATTTTTCATCAACCGTCGATGGGAACAAGCTTATTCCAAATCCTCCCAATTGCCTTCTGAAGGTGTTTGGATCCTCCTGCCACCCACATACAAGTGTCCAACATTATTACCCTCTCAAAGGGCATGTGGATCCATAGGGTTTCATGTAGGCTGTTGATGAAACAGCTGAAGTCTACGGATGTAAAGCCATCAAATACTTTTTCACCAACCGTCGATGGGAACAAACTTATTCCATGCCTGGTGTCCAAATGTACCTTTTCGGTTCCCAAAGGAAGGGGAAGGGAAAAACACAAGGACTTCCGAAACCCAGATAAGTCTGCCCAGAGTTGCCATGTCTTTGATGTTGACAAGTGCGTATCGAAGGGTTCTCGTTTCTTGTTCGCGACTTGTTGTCTCAGCGTTTGCAACCGTTGTCAGCCGTCCGCAGGTGGAGCGCTATGGCGCTGACATTGGGTGAAGCTTTTGGAGGATGGAAGCATGACGTGTTAGATTTGTGTGAAATAGCGAGGAAATGCGAGGAAACGTGTGGAAAGGTGAGAGGATTGCGCAGGCGCAGGGTTTTGTGAGAACCAGCTCAAATGGCGATTTTTGTGTCTGGGAGTGTACTCAGAACGTGTCGAAATCATTTCAAACATGTGGTGTGGTGCATATTTTTCTGAATCTACGAAGACATGATATTGTCACATGGCAGGCGCAGTACTGTGCTTTGAGGTGTGGAATTGCAATTTTTGTCGCAGGCGCGATGAATCATGAAGTTACGAAGTATGGCGGAGGTCACATCTCGTGGCAGGCGCAGTACTTTGTCCGTGTTGGAGGCGTGGACGTGCAAATTTTTGTGGCAGGTGCGGGTGTGAGGTGGCGAGTTGTGGTGGGTGAGTGTCGCTGTGCCATTGGGATTGGCACGTGAGCGGGTGTTGTTTGGAGGGGCTGGAATCGCGAAACTGCTTGGCAGGGCTGCTTGATGTGTGTGCTCCGATGGGGCTTCCCGCTTGACTTTTGGAAGAAGGCTCGTTTTGGAGACGTAACGCGTGAATTTTAGAGGAAGTCTTGTACGAAACACTCGCTTTGCAGACTTGCAGTGTGAGTTTTTGAAGACGTCTCGTGCGAAACGCTCGTTTTGGAGACTTGACAAATGAATTTTGGAAGAAATCTCGTACAAAATGCTCTTGCAGACTTGACGCGTGACTTTTGGAGCAAGTCTCGAACGAACGCTTGTTTTGGAGACGTGACGGTTTACTTTTGGATACTTTTGGAAACTTTATATTATATAATATAGTGCCCCACAAGAGTCCTACTACAGAGTCCCACAAGAGTGTCCCACAAGAGTGTCCGAAAAGAGTGTCCTACCAGCGTCTCCCAACATACGAGAGTGTCGGACAAGAGTCCCCAACAAGAGTGTCCAACAAGAGTGCCCTACAATAGTCCTACAAGAGTGTCCTACAAGAGTCCCGCAAGATGGAACCCACGAACCCGAATGCAAACACGCACTCGCAAACAAACGCCCACACATTTTTTGACACTCTTGTAAGAGACACTCTTGCAAGAGACACTCTTGTAGAACGCTCCTGTGGGACACTCTTGCAGGACACTTTCGTAGGACACTCTTGTGGGACACTCTTGTAAGACGCTCTTGTGGACTCTTGTGCAACAATCTTCTGGGGCATTCTTGTGGGATACTCACATTCTCAGATGTAATTTGGCCACAGAAGTTGCAGCTATGGTGGCCACTTGTCAAGGGAGTGGGCTGTCGTGACTTACAAGTGGGTCGAAAACGGAAGAGCATCGTGTGTGTGAGTGCCACTTAAAGAGTTGGTTGCACCTGACTTTGCTTCAAAGGCAGTTCGCGACCGGTTGCACTGGTTACCGACTGCTGAGGTTTATGTTGACACCATCCAGCCATGTGGGGACACTCTTGTCGGACACTCTTATGGAACAGTCTTGTGGGACACTCTTGTCGACACTCTTGTGGAGCACTCCAACTGGGTAGCGGCAAATGTAGGCCACTTGGTAGTAGAAATGTAGCGCTGCCGGCAGCTTCTGGGAGCTGTACAACTGCCAGCTTTGTAGTGCCAAATGTAGTACAGGAAGCAGCAGCTTCTGGGACATGTACCAAGCATAAAGCCCCCTGCTCCACACCAGTTGCACACAAAACCCATGAGCCGTTGTGAAGCCTCACAAGCTGCATTGATAACCCACGCAGAAGACTTCAAGCTGATGCAGCAGATTCCTGCAGCCACTTCTCCACCCTTGGATGCGTGTCCAACAAACAGTGAAAAGTGAAGTGAACAATTGTTCGAAACTAACTGTGAAACTGCTTCTGCAACTGCCATTGGTGGACTGGCAACCGGTTGATCCACTGATTGATCCGTCTCCATGTGATGGGACTGATGCTGCGTCCTGCCCTGACACATTGAAGTGTAGTGAAACAAATTGCTGTGCGGCAGCAGCCGTTGTCCATGAAGCTTCCTCTTTGAGGAAGCACGTTGACTTTTGTCTCAGGCAACAGGCGTTGGTGGCGTCATTGGTGGAGTCATCGTAAGGTTCCTCAGGCTGCTGTTCCTTCCTTTTCCTTTGCGCCACCCCCGAACCTTTGGGCTGTGGCCTCAGAACTGGCAACTTGCAGTACACATGTAATGCCGGAAGCAGGTTGTGGGAGCTGTATGTCACTGTATGTCCCACAAAGTTAATTGACCAATTCAACGCTGTTTAGAAGGAATACACCGCGGGCAACCGACAGGAGGTAGTTTTGTTCAATCAACCCCGTCTGCGAAGCATTCAACATAACCCTGGGGCTCCAAGTACCTCCGCAGAAGGTATTTGGACCCTCCTGGCACCCACCCCAGTCCCACCTTCTCAGGAGGTACGACTGGAGCCCTATCGGTAGTAGTCATTTCAAGGGTTAAGAATCCGGGCCCTTTCTCCAATGGAAAGGGTTCGGCTTGGTTCGAGTCCGGACCCCTGTGAAGATGTTGGGTCCTGCTATGGAAAGTCCGAGGATTCTTGGGGTAGTATAATCCTAACTCGACGGATTACGATTTGTGTAGTCATACTGCTCACCTGAAACCATCACTCATCATCACTCTATAAAATTGTTAGCTGACTCGCTCAGTTTCCGTATAGAACATATATAGACTCTAGATGACTCTAGACTCTTCTTAGTTGTTCAGTGGGTTGTCCCCCATTTTTCTCCCCCTCCCCAACCGACGACCCACCCGCACCACCCTCCCTGGGTCATGACCCCAGTACCGGGTCCCCCGGACGAGGATCCCCAGGACTGCGTTGCGCGCGATGGCCTCATGCACACGAACCGTCGAACAAGAGGGGGATGGGGACGGGGACGGCAGATAAACACAAGCCAGGGTGAGTATTGGGATGGGAGTGTTGGATGCAGGAAACTTCCTTGGTTGGATGCTTTTTGTGGTCGAACACCCGCGGGACGAGTTCCTGTGACCGCTTCGAACTGTGACCGTGAGGAGGAAAAGAAGGCGGAGACCCAGGAATGAGCTATCCCGGGATCCAGTTTCGTACCTTCTCAGGTTCGGTGAGGACTGTTGGACACTGTCATGTATGTGCCAGGGATTTTTTAGGGCTATGAACATGGTGGATGGGCAGCTCCTTAGACCCGGGAGCCGAAGCTCCCACAAGAGTCCTCCGAAAAACCGAGTCATCGACACCTGAAAACCGCCCCAAACCCCGAAAAAATGGGATGGAGTGAGCTGTACTGTGAGCTCTTTTTCGGGTGAATGTCCTCCAGCAGGTCGGCATTTTGGAGTGGCAGGTCGGCTGTTTGGAGTGGTTGGCAGCGGTTTTTCTTACATCCTTGGTTCCCTCCCCACAAAAACCCGAAGTTGTGAGCGGCCAAAAGCCTCGGGTTGGTCCTGGGTTGGTCCTTCCTGAGCCTTTTGAGAGATATAACAAAAGTCAAACACTCCATGGGACTGGTATATATATATATGTACCAATCAGTTGGGGTGGTCAAAAAAAGGGGTCACTTAGACCCCCATCTATGACATGGAGTGTCTGGGAAAAGTCCACTTCCCAGTTTAACTCTCTTTTACCAGGAGTCACATGTCGGGGTGCGATCTATCGAGGTAGTCGGGGTCCCCAGCTACTCCACTCACTTGGGGACGAGCCACACCACCCCGAGCTCTGTGACTCCTGGTAAATATGTTTTGGAAGCACCGGCGTGTTTCAGTTTGCAGCCCGCAAAACCCTTCTTTCCACTTCATCGCCCCTGCTCCACATACCCTCTGAGGTGGTGATTGGAGACTGTTATGTAGCTGCCACGAGGGTTTGGCATGTCCTAAGTGCAAAGCACACCACCCAAGATGAGCTTAGCTGCTTGGCTGTTAGACACGACTCCAGGCTTGTTGACTCAATCCCTGGCTTCTTTGTTCCACCATGTTCAACCTCTCCAGTCCCAGGATCTGGGAAACGAAACGCCACTATACATTCCCCATGTCAGGGGACTCACCATGCCCGTTTTCGCCACCCAATCGGCCACCACCTCGAGTCCAACAAGTCTTCGCCCCTCTTCGCGGCATCTCCCCTCTCTCCCGACCGCAAGCTCGGTGCAGTCGTTCCGTCCGAGGTGCAGTCTCGAGCCCACGAGAAGTCTCCTACAATGTGAGATCGAAGCATTGGGTGTGCCCAGATGGTGCGTTCAGAGCTGGTCCAAACCCAGACCCCTCCGGATTCCTCCGATCGGATGGACACTCAGCGATAGGACCTCGGGATCCGTTTTCGAAACCGAACCTGAGGTGAAGGTGAGGACGGAGACACTGTTATGTCGGTTTGGACGGTCCAAGTCCAAGTCTGAGAAGGTGGCAGTGGATCCCTATGGCTCTGAAAGCGAAAAAGGATGGCTGGATGACCCTGCCGTTGGACTACTCTGGAAGAAGACCAGCCCGACCAGTCTACCTACTGGCTCGGATGTCGGGCCTTTCATGAAGAATTTGACATCAGGAACACCAGAAAGCACTCCCCGAAAATAGTCTGATAGAAATGGAAAAACATGGAAACCTCTTTGTAGAGGAAAATGGTCATCCAAAATCGGGGCGCCATGCCATCTATATCCCATGATCGGTTCAGGGAGTGTCATCCGTGATCCTGGTCAATGCGAGCATGGTGAAAAGGGATCTATGGGGCGGCATATTTTCCAGTCCCATGCTGCATCTGGGAATTGATGGACCATAACAATCCATAACATGCATAGTGTTACACATCTTCATACCATCCCTCCATCACCAACACATCTTGCATACACCGTACCGGTACGGTATCCCAAGTACGCCTCCCAAGTACGCCACGCTGAGCCTGTGCAGTTCTACTGGGTGGGTGACCAGTATCCCCAAACGTAGCAAGCACCCGTGACTGGCCTTCGTTGGTCGGTACCGAACCGCTTACCGGTAACCGTTTGGGACGACCGGGGGCCCCCGGGTGCCAGGTTCGGGGGCGGCTTGAGGGATCTCCCTGTAGCTCAGTCCTTCGTCCCCGGGACACCGGACTTGGCAGGTCCAGGATACCATCTTGACCATCTTGACCACTTTTCCACCCCATTCCATGTATAGTTATATGGGCCATTCCCATCGATGGTCCAGGCAAATACTGATGGGACACCACTCGCCCTGCCACGAAAAACACCACTTGCCTGAGCCAGGCCATCCAAAGCTGAATGCCAACGAGCCTGGCACCGCATCGATGCCAAACTTGTTGATGTAAGTGTGGATCCAACCCTAGGGCTCCTACCTCCTGAGAAGATGGTTGGGGTGGGTGCCCGGGGGTGTCTAACCACCGAACCTGAGGATATGGTTGGAGCCCTATATAGGGCAAGCACCTTCTGAGAAGGTGAGCAGCAAGACACTGTTATGTGCCGGTGCCAAAATGTCGGGTCAAGTCATACCCAACCTCAGAAGGTATGTGGATCCCTCAGGAATCAGAATAGGGAGAACCCCGAGTTCGACCCCCTTGGAAGGTTCGGAAAATAGACCACTACACCCATTGGTGGGGCGGGTTCCCTATTAAAACTTGGCAACCTCCAATGGGCTCCCAGTCTAGTAATGGAGCTGGTAGTGTGGTAGTGTGGTGGTCCGCAACAGGTCACCTTCTACACCGGCTCTGAACAACTCATCAGACAACTTGCGGCTGATGTTCCCTTACATTTCTGATTCATGGCACTTCTATAGGGTGTTGTTGAGCTCTCACCTGCTTCCCACCGCACCTGGTTCAAGCTGCTGAGGGCCACGGAGGCGCTCAATGCATCGCGCCGCAAAGTCCAGGATGTCACGCGTCTGGCGTGGCGAGAGGTGCCAGGCAGTGGAGGAAGTGGAGGAAGTCGAGGGTGGATGAATTCCTGCCCATCCTTTGTGACTGGACGCTTCACATACATTGACACCCTTAATCACCCTGATCAGTACAATTCCTTGCTGTAGTTTTGTGGGATGTGTGATACCCCTACTACCCTTCACCTTCCTCCCCCTCAAAACAAAGATCACAATAACCGACCCTCTAATCAAATTTCTATAGAACATCTCCCTAGCAATCTAGTCGTACCTTCTCAGGTACAGTGAGGACGGAGACACTATGTACGTCTCAAGGGTCCAAGTACCTTCTGAGGCTCGGTGGCAGTGGATCCCTATAGGGCTAGTGGTATTGATCATACGAGACAAAGTCACTAAGCCATCACTCCTACACGGGCAACACATCACGATGATGCTGGAGTTCAATGGAGCAGGGCTATTCCTGCCGCTGAAGCTTCTTGAACAGCCCTGCCGGCATGATGTGCTGCACGGCATGTTTGGTACTGTGCGAAGAAATACATACGCTCGGCTCTATACCAAGGATATCAATGGTTTAGGTGGGTTCGGCTTTCACCATACAGCAACATTGACAAAGGTAGTGGATGTATATGGAAGCACTTCATCGTTGTCTCATCGTCTCCTCCATATGGGTGGTCCATAGTCTCACCTTCACCGCGCTTGCTCATAAATTCATATATTTGTATGCCAGGGCCCCTAAGGGGTGGTTAATGGATGCTATAATCGGACACCCCTTAGGGGGGCCTGGTGAGGTCCTTTTTTTTTGCTTTGAAGGTGTTTTTCATGCTTCAAGTGTCAACTGCAAGGGTCAACCCAGGTCTGACCCAGGTCCAGTCAAACCTGAGTACTGTAACTCATATGATTCATGTTCAGAGTCCAAAGAGTACTTTTTACTACACCAGCAGAATGAGGTCATAGAGGTACTGTATAGAACGAGGTCCAGGTCTCATATGTTCATAGTGTTACTATCTACCTCCTGTTCTTCTTCATCTCTTGCTATACAGATCTGAGCCCGGACTTCTAGCACCACCACGCGCCCCAACCCGGTTGCCCGGGCCGCCCGGCGAGAGCAAAGCATGCGCCCATTCCCATTGAAGGCCCTGACGGCCCCCGGTCCCGGTCGCGAACCGAAGGCGGTTCCGGTAGGGTCCTGGACCCGCAGATCAGCACCCAGTTCCCGGTCAGATCGGATCCAAAATGATCTCAAGTTGTTCAGCTGGTCGCAGCTGCAATAGCTCCAGAAGAGTGGAATCACCCAACACACACACACATAGACATAGATTGAAGATGTCCTGGGTATACGCCACATGTGAGCACATCCACGGCATGCAGCGTTCGAACCAACACCCCCACTTTTCCGATGCGACACATCCTGCCAATCTCTGCTGCCACGGAAGACGAAATCTTCCAACTACCAGGATTCCCCAGAATCCCCCACACGTGCCCCGATCTTGCAGAACATCCTTCCAACAAGTCAACGAGTCACAAAGAATCATGCTGAAGAGTAGTAGATACACACCCTGCTGACAAGCATGGAGGCACGTGATTAATAAGATTCTCTTCAATTGGCTTCCCCATCAGACAGTCAGCGAAGCGGACTGTCTCGTCTACCAATGTGCCTCAGTCGGCCAGACGCGGGGCACGGATTATCCCAAGATTCTCACATGGAGTGATTGGTAAATATCCAAGCAAACTCCCATGCCCCAGGGATCCAAGTACCTTCTCAGAAGGTGATTGGAGACACTCTGATTCTGATGTAGGTTTTGAGGGTCCAAGTACCTTCTGAGAAGGTACTTGGATCCCTAGGGATGGAAGTATTAGAAACTTACCCGGTGGAAGACAATGTTGCTCCACAACCCACTGGTTTTTCAGAGTGAGTTAGTGATTGGGTTGACGGTTGAAAGACCTTACCCAAACAATCCCAAACACGTCTCTTCTGGGATTGGCCTATTTGCCGATCACTTGGTGTGGTTGACCTGGGGTCAATGTAGGCTATGTTTGATACATGCGCATGCCCTAATGCCCTAGGGATCCAGTCGTTCCGTACCTCAGGTACGGTGATGTGTTCCACACTGAGACATGTAGGTGCCAAAACGTCAAAACGTCGGGTCATTCGTCGTACCGAACCTGAGGTTCGGAACGAAAACGGATCCCTAGGGATGGAACTTGTTACCTGCTTTTTTTGCACTTGTTACTAGAAGCGAGGCACTTGTTTCTAATAGCTTCTTGTTACTACTAGTAAGGCACCTGTTTCTACTAGCGTGGCACTTGTTTCTACTAGGGATGGAAATGTGGCTCCGAGGTGACCCGGATGACCCGGGGCTACAAGCCCGGTAGGCCTCCGTTTTCGTTCCGAACCCTGCGATTCTGAGAAGGTGGGAGGACCGGGGCGGTGCCAGGAGGGTCCAGTCATACCTTGTGAGGAGGTACGACTGGAGGTGTAGGGAATAGGTATATAATTAATGTTGAATCGAAATTAGTATAATGGGACGGAATAAAAAAAATTCGCCAAATTATTTATACACCCTGATTAGTTTGATGGGTCGGAAAAATAAGAAGTGTTTCTCCCAGTTCTTTTTTGAAGTTTGTTTGTTTTTCTATTGTTCTGCTATTGCTCACCCTTTAACTTCCTTACTTAACTCTCCTGAGGTTTGCTTGATTCATGGAATTATGACCTGAAAATTGTTTTCAAAAACGCCTATTAAAACTCAACGATTTCATTGCTCCAAACAATTTTTCAAGGGGGTAGTACACCAGCCCAGGGTAAGTGAATAATACGAATTGTTTAGGGGGTGGGATTAATATGCAAGCTTGGAGCCCTAATGGAAAATATGCTAACTTTATTATTGTTTTGCTATTGCTGCCCTTTGAAATCCGTACTTAACTCTTCTAAGGTTTGCTTGATTCATGGAATTCCAACCTGGAAATCGTTTTCAAAAACGCTTATTAATAAAACTCAACGATTTTATTGCTCCAAACAATATTTTTTAAGGGGGTAGTACACCAGCCCAGGGTAAGTGAATAAGACGAATTGTTTAGGGGGTGGGATTAATATGCAATCTTGGGGCCCTGAGGAAAAATCTAACTTTATTATTGTTCTATATTGTTCTGCTACTGCTGCCCTTTCTAGCCTTGTTTATATCTCTTCTACGACATTCTACGACTACGACGGCGACTCCTACTACTACTACTACTACGACTACTACTACGACTACGACTACCACTACCACTACCACTACCACTACTACCACTACCATTACCACTATTACTACTACTACTACTACTACTACTACTACTACTACTACTACTACTA